CATCACCAGCATCATCATCATCAGCACTACCACCACCACCACCACCACCACCATCACCATCACCATCATCATCATCATCATCATCACCATCATCATCATCATCATCATCATCATCATCATCATCAACATCAACATCGTCACCGTCACAGTCACCATCACCACCACCACCAGCATCATCATCATCATGGACATCCTCCTCCTCCTCATCATCATCCCCATCATCCTCATCATCATCATCATTACCACCACCATCACCATCACCGTCGACATCATCACCAATAGCAACAGCATCGTCAGCATCATCAACATCATAGACCTGATCATCATGAGCATCAGCCTCATCATGAGCATGATCATAAGGCCGAGCATAAGTATGAGCATGAGCATCATCACCATCAGCATCATCTCACCATCATGATCATCATGAACATCGTCATCATCATCAGTGTCCGCGTCATCACCATCACCATCACCATCACCACCATCCCACCATCATCATCAAAATCACCATCATCATAATGATCACCATCGTAATCATCATCATCACCATCATCATCATCGGCATCGACATCATCATCATCATCACCATCATTATCATCATCGACATCATCATCATCATCAGCATCATCATTATCACCATCAACATCATCATCATCATCATCATCATCATCGTCAGCATCATCATCATCATCATCATCATCATCATCATCATCATCACCGTCAATATCATCATCACCACCACCATCATCATCACCATCACCAGCCAAAATCGTCGTCGTCGACATCACCACTACTATCTCCAATAGCCGCATCACCACAGCCCTGCGGCAGGGTTGGGTTCGGGCGAGGCGCCTTGAGCCAAAATGGCTATGGACCTCTTCTTCTTTTCCCATCTCCTCCTCCTCTTCCTCCTCCTTCGGAGGAGGAAAAAGAAAACCAAACAGGCCTAACCGGAAAGCCTCGGCCGAACCGAACCTGTCAAACCAAACCGGACTGGCCGAACCGAACGGCCGAACCGGACTGGCCGACCCGAACCGGCCATTTGACTCGAACTGGACCGGCTGGACCGAACCGGACGGCGATCTGAATTGGACCAACCGAACCGACCCGAAGGTGCGCCGAACCGGACCGAACCGAAACGAACCAGGGCCATCATGTCCTTTGGGTCCACGTGCTCCTCGGTTTCTGTTTCTCCTCCTCATCATCATCATCATCACCACCATCACCATCACCATCACCATCACCATCACCATCACCATCACCATCATCATCATCATCATCATCATCATCATCATCATCATCATCATCATCATCATCATCACCATCACCATCACCATCACCATCGTCATCATCATCAGCATCATCACCATCCCCAGCACCCTCACCACCACCAGCATCACCATCATGATCGTCATCGTTATCATCATCATCGTTATCATCATCATCATCATCATCATCATCATCATCATCATCATCATCATGGGAATGGGAATGGGTCTCTGGGGGCGTCCACAGAAGAGCTGGAAAACAAAAAAGACTGGGCCTAAACCCTTTGAGTTTCAGCATGTGTCACTTCGCCCTGAGGGCCTACAGGAGGATCAGCTGGCCCCGAACGCTGGGGATGGGGGCCCACAGGCGATTCGTGGCGACTCGTTGGTGGGGGACCCGAGAGCCACGACGCACCACCGATCTGAGAGGGCATTCAATTAGGGGCCAACGATCAATCGTGGAAGGGAAAACAGGCGCGGGGGGGAGGCAGGCGCGAGGGGGGGAGGTGCTCCACAACAACTGACAGGCCAATCGAATTACAAATTCCGACGAGGTGCTATCCTTTTATCTCTCTCGGGCGCTCCCGCCTGGGCGTACAGGCCGTCGGGGAGGAAGGACGTGTCCTCATAACAGAATCTCACCACTGCCTCCAATGATGTAGATCTGCTCGACTTCAATCACTGAATCATGAAAGAGCGGCCCCCTCTGAAGGCGCAGGACCAGAGGTCCAGACATTAAGGCGTTGCACACCGACAGAGGGGGTCGAATACCACCAATACTAATTCAAAAAGCACCACCAGCATCAGTGCCGAATGCGAAGATAAACTTCTCCACTGCGGCGTTAGATAGTACAGCTCAGCGGTGTCCAGACTTCCACTTACTGGAATATCATCTGAGTGCCTTCCACGGCTTCAGTCTGGACCAAAAAAAGAGAGCTGCAACCAAAATTATTTCATTCGAGAGCGGGTATGTCGGCGAACGGGAACTGTAACTTTAGATTGTGCTGCCGCTCTCGTTGCTGCTTCCAGCGTCACAAAGCCTTGCTCCACTAAGGTCAAGAGTCCTTCACTATGGGAGCGTAGCATCAGACGCTGGTGTGCACTCAACCGTGGTCGTGTCACTTCTTCTCGTACTCGTCCAAAAGTTTCTGCGCTGCTCGCTCCAGCGGACCCCGAGGAGCGGGGCCCATCTTCACGATGCCTTGATATCCCTTGAACACATTCACCAGTAGCTTCTCCATGCCGTCGTGGTCGCGGCTGAGGGCGAAGACGATCTTGGTCATCTCGGGCTGTCCGTCCTTCTTCTTGGCGGGTTTCGCTCGGCAATGAAGTACCACCTCCTGTAGCTGCTGCGCCGTCTTGCCCTCGACGGACTGGCCCCAGAACTTCTCCATCTCGTGCTGGATTCCCTCCCCTAGATCTCCTTTCGCCATGCCTTGTAGCATCGCTGTGAACACGTGTACGTACGGTACTCCGAGAACTTCGAGCTCCTGAGTCTTGCCCTGCAGCCTGGTCACCTCTTTGTGGTAAGCGACTCCTGCGGCCTTCATCGCCAAGCAGATGGGGTGCGTGCTGAGAAGCAGGACGGTTCGCCACAAGATCCCCGTTACCTCTCTGAGCTCCGCTGCGTTGGACAAGGCGAGGCGTGCGAGGATGAGCACCAGCTTTGCCACCGTCTTTTCTTCGCTGCTGTCGACGATTTCGGTGGCCTGCCTTTTGCGTCTTTGAGCGGCGGGTTCGCCAGTTCCTTCTTGCCGTAGTCCCCACGCTGGGGCCTTCAGCTCGAAAGGCATCGTCTTCGGCACTGCGTAGAGAGTCGAAAGGTGGAGCGTGTGACTGCAGGTGTTCTTGCAACCCCGAAAAGGTGTCAGCCTCGAACGAGCATAAATGGCACCGGCGACGATCGGGGTGTAGAGGGCCTCCTAGATATCTGGAACGATTGACACATACACCTCCTCGTAGAACGCTTTTTGCTACATGTTGCTGTGTTGCCACAACTGAGCCATATACACCTTCACAGTACGGGCACACGTTTGTGACGACTAAGGAGACCCACGGATCGCGTAGTCCATGATAAGCAAGTCTATGATGTGCAACCGATTTACTGCGAGTCGGCGTCGAGCTGATTATCAGATCCAACCAATCCGTGAGTGCAGTGACGGTCTTATCATATACCTGCAGCGCCTTCACCGTGGTGGGCCGAGGGGGATAGTATGCGCCGATCACCGTGAGATCCCAAGAACTCGACGATACCCGCACCGCCAGCCCACGGCCAGCGAGATGTGCAGGTGGAACTTGTACTTTACGAAGATGCTTCTGTCGAATTTTTGCTCCAAAAGAAATGAGAACGCCCGTGGACTTGTTAGTCATGGAACCAGCGGACCATCCTGCATCAATGCGCCATCTGCTGCCACTGCGAGATTGCTCCATTCTTTCCTTAGTGCGGCGCTGCGTGCCCACGAGCGTAATTGCATCGAAATTAGAACAAGCCAACTCAATCTCTTCAAGACGATCCCCCGCGGTGGCCGCGAGGGGGTTGAAATGAAGCATGCGCCAGACGTCATCATCATCATCATCATCATCATCATCATCATCATCATCATCATCATCATCATCATCATCATCATCATCATCATCATCATCACCGACACCATCACCGACATCATCAGCATCATCATCTCCATCACCATCATCACCATCACCAGCCAAAATCGTCGTCGACATCACCTCACCATCACCACCATCACCACTCGACCTCGGGCCGGGGCTCGTCCCACTGGCCCTCGGGCCTCGTCCTCCGCCGCTCGTGATGCTGCTCCCTGAGGAGAGCCCTCGAGAGGCTTGGACGGCGAGCGAGTGTCCTCGGCCGCTGTCAGGGGGCCCCGATTGCCTTCGATGGTCTCCACGGGCTCGCGGGGGGGGGGCGATTGGGAGTAGGGGGAGGGCACTGAAGGGGAGGAGGGAATAACTTCGCGCCCTCGAGGGGGGCCCTTGTATCTTTGGAGGTCTCCCAGGAAGGAGGAGGAGGAGGAGGAGGAGGAGGAGGAGGAGGAGAGGGAGGAAGAGGAGGAGGGGAGGAGGAGGAGGAGGAGGAGGAGGAGGAGGAGGAGGAGGAGGAGGAGGAGGAGGAGGAGGAGGAGGAGGGGGAAGAGAGGGAGGAAGAGGAGGAGAGGGCGGAAGAGGAGGAGAGAGAGGAGGAGAAGAAGGAGGAGGGCGAGGAGCGTCCATGACTCCCACCCACAACGCGGCGGCGGCGACGGCGAAGATCACGACCACGACGGCGGCGATGGCGGCGGCGGCGAAGACGGGCACTACGTCGACGACGACGACGACGACGAGCACGGCCAGGACGACAGCGGCCAGCACGGCGACCAGAAATTGAAAGCCCTGGAGGAGGCACCAGGCAGGGGTCTTCGGGAGGGCCCAGGACGCCACAGGCGACGACGCCATCGACAAAGAGCACTGCGACGTCGATAGCGAAACCAACGGCGACGCCGGATGGCGACGAGGACGACTGAGAAAACCAAAAGGTGCCGATACCGGTACTCCCTGGACCTCCTGGGGCGCGTTCTGACCAGAATCTCGAGGCGAATCCAGCGGTGGCGACGAGAGCCTCCCAGGAGAGCGAGAAAGGGGAACACGGATGAAAGGTAGCGCCATGGGTATCGTTTTTTCTTCCTCTGAACGACTGCGTCGGCGTCGACGCCGACGACGGCGGCTGCGACGGAGCGCCTCGACCGTGTCGCCGTTGCGGATGGCCCTGGCCTTGTCGTAGGCGGAGAGCTTGCCCGAGTTCCGGGCCTGGACACGAGGGTCGGCGGAGCGGGCGCGTGGTCTCCTCCTCGTGTCATCCTCGCACGTCTCGTTCCCGCCCGTCCTTGTCCATCATAGTGGTCCTCCTCCTCCTCCTCCTCCTCCTCCTCCTCCTCCTCCTCCTCCTCCTCCTCACACCTGACACCTGATGGCTGCATAGTCGTCAGACAGAGCCTCTCCTCCTCCTCCACCTCCTCCTCCTCCTGTTCCTCCTCCTCCTCCTCCTCATCCTCCTCATGTTGCTTTAGCATCAGAGCTGTAGCGCTCACACCTCCTGTTGCTGTTGCTTGTGACTTCAGGGTCGAACGCTCGCTCACCCACCTCCTCCTCCTCCTCCTCCTCCTCCTCCTCCTCCTCCTCCTTCTCCTCCTCCTCCTCCTCCTCCTCCTCCTCCTCTTCCTCTCTTCCTCCTCCTCCTCCTCCTCCTCCTCATCATCATCATCGTGCTCCTTCTCCTCCTTGCGCTCCTGGCATATCGTGTCCCACATAGTTCCTGATCCCGCCTCCTCGCCAGCAGAAGAGGGGGGAGAGCAGGAGAAGAAAGAGCAGCAAGAGTGATCTGAAGTGGGGAGTGTGGATGGAGGCAGGGGAGCAAGGAGGGGAGGGGAGAGGAGAGGAGAGTGCAGATAAGACACGAAAAAGGAGGAGGAGGAGGACGAGGAGGAGGAGGACGAGGAGGAGGAGGACGAGGAGGGGGAGGGGGGGGAGGGGGAGGGGGAGGGGGGAGGAGGAGGAGGAGGAGGAGGAGGAGGAGGAGGAGGAGGAGGAGGAGGAGGAGGAGGAGAGGAGGAGAAGGAGGAAAAGGAGGAGGCGGAGGAGGAGGAGGAGGAGCAGGGAGGAGGGGGGGAGGAAAAAGAGAAGCAGCACCAGAAGCAGAGAAAAGCAGGAGCAAACGACGGATGCGAGCGGAAGCTGGGGCAGGAGCAAGCGGGAGGGAAGGCCCGTCCCTCCACCTCCTGCCCCCCCTCCCCCGCCCACCTCCTGCTTCTCCTCCCCCCCGCTCCTGATCCTGATCCTACTGCTGCTAATCCTCCTCCTCCTCCTCCTCCTCCTCCTCCTCCTCCTCCTCCTCCTCCTCCTCCTCCTCTTGCTCTTGCGTGCTCTTTCTCTTGCTGCTCCTAGAGGGGGCATGCCCCCGCGCGCTCCCATGCGCGCGAGCCGCACCCGGATGCCAGCGGCGCATGCGCCCTAGAGGCTCTCCCACACTTGGCTGAGCAGCGCCAGAGCCATTGACCACCGCTCGCCCTTCTCGCACGCGCTGATCCCAGCGTTGTGGCTGACGACGTCAAGTTGCCCATTCTCCTCACACGTCACGCCGAGCAGTGCCAAGGCCTGCAGCCCATGCTATCAAGACTCGCAAGCGTTGATACGGATACGGATACGGATCGCCTGTGCGGGCATGCGCCCAGGCCCCTTAAAGGCGAGGCGGGTGAGGCCATGGCCTCGCATGAGAAGCTGCGCGCGTCGGGGGTCTACTCAGGACAATGTGTACTTCAGGAGCTGATTTCCCGACAGTCCACACTCATCCGTTTTCTCATGATGTAGCCACGTCGTCTCGTTGAAATCGTAGTTCTTGTGGTGTGAGACTGTCGGAGATGGGTGTCATCGTCCTTTCTGTGATCTCGAATTCATAGCAAAACACGTTCGAGATGAACTCCTCGGACCTCCAATCCACAGCACATGGGTGTGGGAGCACTGGTGCTCTCATGAGCTCTGTGTCACATCCTTCAGGTACCACTCAAGAAACAGATCACCGCGTGCAATCGAAGGCCCATACGCGCTCTGTGACACACCCAAGAGATCAGGCAGAGGTCGCTTGGTGGTGGAAACGTCAGGCTCCACATTCGAAATCCACGTTCCGCTGAGCAGCACCAAAGCCCACTGCCACTGCCAGGATTCCCAGCAGGCGCTGATCCCAACAGTGTAGCAGGTGACGCTGGGCTCCACATCCGAGTTCCACATCCCGCTGAGCAGGACCCCAGCCCACTGCCTCTGCCAGGATTTCTCACAAGCGCTGATCCCTGCCCCCCAGGCACCGGAAGAACCACCCTACATCCTGCTGCAATTGCTAAACCCCCGGCGCGCGCACGGTCAGGCACTGTAGCTAGTGACGTATGGCCCCACATTCGAATTCCACATCCCGCAGAGCAGCACCACATCCCGCAGCCACTGCCCAGCTTTCTCACAAGCGCTGATCCCCGCACTGCAACTGGTGACGTTGGGCTGCACCTTCAACTCCCACGTCCCACAGCACAGCTCCACCACCTGATAACACTCCCCGCTGCCAATACGCCATCAGCTGCACACGCTGCTACCAACATTGCAGCTGATGACTTACTTGGTTTTGCCTGGAAGCGAAAGGGAGGAGGTAGGTCGCCCTCGAAGTCCTGCCACTACTGACCTTTCTCGCAAGCGTACATCCCAACACTGTAGCTGATGACAGTGGGCTGCATCTCGCTGAGCAGCGACAACGCCTGCTGCTGCCGCTGACATTTCAGCAAGCGCTGATCCCAGCGTTGTCGATGATGGTATCGGGCTCAAGTTTCGTATCGACTGTCCAGCTGAGCAGCGACAGGGCCCGCTGCCACTGCTGGCCTTCTCTCGCAGGCGCTGATCCCAGAACTGTAGCTGATGACAGTGCTAGCTTCGTCGCGACCATTTCGCTGGGCAGGCACAGGGCCTGCTGCCACTGCCGACCCTCCTCCGACGCGCAGATCCCAGCGTTGTGGCTGATGACAGTGGGCTCTCCAGCTTCGTCTCGACCATCTCGCTTCTCGCGAGTGCTCATCCCGGCCCGGTGGCTGATGACAGTGGGCTCCAGCCTTGTCTCGACCATCTCACAGGGCAGGGACAGGGCCTCCTGCCACTTTCGACCGTCCTCGCAAACGCTGATCCCAGCGTTTTCCTCCTCCTCCTCCCCCTCCTCCTCCTCTTCCTCCTCCTCTTCCTCCTCCTTCTCCTCCTCCTCCTCCCTGCGCTCTCCCCGCCGCTGCTGATCCTCCGCCCCCCGCACCCTGCACGTTGGCGGGAGGCCCGCCAGCTGGACACCAACGCCCGCATCGAATCGGGCCGCATCGCCACGGAGCCAGAGTCGAACCCGAACCCGCTCGACCACGCTAGGAAGCGCAGCAACGCCACGCGGGCATCGGACCGCACCGGATCGAGAGGAATACCGGAGTCGGATCGGATCGGTCGGATCGACACGGAGCCTCTGGTGTCGGAGGATCCCGCATCCAGATGACGAAACATCGCACAAACAGAAACTTTCGGCGGTCCGCGCAGATTTGTTGCATCTGAGCTGGGCCACCCTCCGTGGCTAGCGGAGCGCGCCAGGGGCGGCGCCCGAGGCGCAGCTAGGGGTGCCCAGCCCAGATCCAAGAAATGCGCGCGGATCATCGACAATTTATGTTTTCGGCCAGGCCAAGGACAGAATAACATCCTTCAAGTACATGAGACCCTCCGCCGGCCAAGCTGACGAGCACTCAAGGGTACCCCACCCCCCAGGATGCACAATCACATTCCACAGGCACGGAGAATGTGAGGGCACCCTCCCTGAACCGTCCTCGATGTCATACCTCGGCCCGACCGTATGTTTACGCAAGTGCTCCTTACCCCTCGGTCGGAAGAAGTGGGTAGAAGCATGTGGTAGCAGGGCGGTGCGAGCAGATTGGGCTTCCGCCGGCCCCCCGAAGAGGAAAGGAGAGGGGAAGCCGCTCGACCCTGGAGGTATAGGAAGGCGCCCAAATTGGGCTGAGATCTGGAAATCCAGAAATAGGGGGGAAACAAACCTACCTCGCTTTTGACCACCCTCGCTTCCAAGAGATACCAAACGATGCCAAATTGCAGCCTGTACTGGTCAGGCCGCTTGACGAGGAGGCGCGTGGTATGACTTGGTTTTGCCTGGAAGCGAACGCGGGGTAGGTATTTCACGCTCTGAAGAAAGACCTCCTGCCTTCAACGACCGGCGGGCACCCTCACCGCACCGACCTCCATGTTATTGACTACCTACCAGACCACCCCAACCCAACCCGAAGCCCCGAATTTCGGGTTGGGGGGGGGGGGGGTAAGGGTTCCACACGTGTTTTTGTCGATGTTTCCCGATCCCCCCCCCCCACTGGAAATCGAGGGTAAATTTGAGCCTTCGGGTTGAGTTGGGGTGGTCCTGCTCTCTCTCTCTCTCTCTCGCGCGCTCTCGCGCTCTCTTTCTGTGCTTCTCCCCCGCCGTATCTCTCTCTCTCTCTCTCTCTCTCTCCCTCGCGCTCTCTTTCTATGTTGTACGGTGGTTTGGTGCGTGGTGAATCATACCGCGGTCCGACCGTACATCGCGTGCGGGCTCTTGCCCGCGGGCTCCTCCGTCGCCGTGGCAACCGGGCGCCGCGCCCCGGCCGTCCGCCCTTCCAGGGCCCCCCCCCGCCCCCCTCTAACGGGGCTGGGCGGGGAGGAGCTCCCCCGAGAGGCTGCGGCTCTCCTCCTCCTCCCCCCTCCTCCTCCTCCGCCTCCTCGCCCCATCCCCTCCAACTCCCACCCCTGTCGCTCCCCGCCTCCCTGCAGGGGTGGGAGGGGCACGAAACCATGTAATTAATATGGTTTTCCGATACCCTCCTCGCTCAGGCGGGGCCTCCCTGGAGGTGTGGGAGGGGCACGAAACCATGTAAATAGTATGGTTTTCGGATACCCTCCTCGCTCAGGCGGGGCCTCCCTGGAAGGGTGGGAGGGGCACGAAACCATGTAAATAGTATGGTTTTCCGATACCCTCCTCGCTCAGGCGGGGCCTCCCTGGAGGGGTGGGAGGGGCACGAAACCATGTAAGTAGTATGGTTTTCGGTATGGAGTGGTATGGAATGGTATGGTAGGTATGGTATGGTACGGTATGGTATGATATGGTATGGTATGGTACTGGAGGTATGGTATGGTATGGTACGGTGTGGCATTGGTGTGATATGGTATGGTATGCTATGGTACGCCATGGTATGGTATGGTACGGTATGGTACGTATGGTATGGTATGGTATGGTATGGTATGGTATGTGTGGTAGGAACTATGGTATGGTATGGTGTGTGTGGTAGGAATAATATTGTGCTGTATGGAAGATGGAGCGGGAGGTGGGTGGGAAGGAGAGGGTGTTCTGGGAAAACAAGAACCCCACTCAGGATGTGGGGAATAAGAAACAGAATAATAATAAAAAAGGAGGAGGGAGGATGAAAAAAACTCCCTGAGCATCCGCTCGAAGAGGTCCACACGGATCTCTTGGACCAGCGCTGGGGGCGGCGCCAGAGGAGGCGCCTGTTGGGGGAGGGGGGCTCCAGCGCCGATCTGAGAAGTCTGCGCGAAGCTCCGAACATTCACGCTCACGCCTACTGTACCTCGGGTTCAGCCACCACTCGCGCCATCCCACAGGGAACAGTGCCTGACAGCAAACTTAGCATGGGCTCCCTCAGCCAGTCATGGCGCTGAGTCATCCGAGCCTGGCCGGAAGAGCAGAGGCCTCCGAAATGGGGTCGGGGTGATGGTGTCGGAGGATCGGGCCGCATCGCCGACGTAACGGCGCCATCGGCGTGGCGAAATGCGATGCATCGGCAATGCTCTGCGATCCTCCGATCCCACCTGCTCGGACCCCATCTGGGAGGCCCAGAAAGAAGAGAACGAGATTAGGTGAGCCTTCACGGGAGCCTCTGTGGACCTCCGCGGCACTATCAGAAGCATGAGTTTGACCAGATTTCATCCACACTTCGACCACCCCTCTTCACCCCCTCGTCCAGCTTTCGTCCAGATGCCGACCAACGCCGACGAAAGCTGGACGACCCCCCCCCAGACCGCAAGGATTTTTGGTGGGGGACCCTCTGAGGCCCCCACGAAGGACCGCACAAAGAGAGGCCCAGCCTTCACCTCCTCGAACGAGGAGATGTGCTTGCCCGCGTCGCCGCCGCCTCCACGTCGGTGGTTCACCTCTGCGGGCGGCGCCCTTCCCAGCAGTCCCCCCACCCCGTCTTCCCCCCTCGCCTCCCCGGCTCAGTCTGACCTGACCCCCCGCCTCCTGCCTGCTCCCCCCCCCTGCCTCGTCCTCCTCGTCCTGATGCCTCCTCATCCGCCTCCTCGCCGTCCTCGCCATTCTCTAGCGAATCGGGAAACTACGTACACACATGTGCTATACACAGATTACACATGGATGTAGACACATCGGCATATAAAACATGTGTGCACATGACTAGATGCACACAGATATACATGGGTATGGCGATCGCGATGTGTGTTCGCGGATATAAGAAAACATGCATGCACATGGTACAATGCCTCGAGAGGCCAAATGGAATGTCCTCAGGTCCCTTCGGGGGCGCTCTCGGGTGGTCCTTGCGTGACTTTTCCACGGGCAAGAGGACTCCCAGACGGGCCAACAGGGCCCTAAGAGGCCCCCAAGACGGTCCAAGAGGGCCCCGAGTCGTCCAAATATTGATCCACGACGACCAAAATAGCCTCCAGACAGCTTAAGAGGCTCGCAAGACGCCCCTAGAGGACTCCAAGAGACTTCCGAGGAGTGCCCCACACCAAAATCAGTGATTTCCAACTGGTTGTTGAAGGAGTTTAACTTTCCAGGATGGCCAAAGAGGCCTCTAGATCGATCCAAGACAGCCCAAGAGGCCCCTAAGAGCGCCCGCGAACTGACTAAGAGGGCCCCAAGACGGCCCAATGGGCCGCCAGGACGATCCAAGACGGCCCCGCGAGGTGCCCAAGAGAGGTCCACGCGGCCCAGAGGGGGAGCACACACCGATATTTCGAGCCCTCCTCCCTGAACCTTCGGCCGCAAGAGGCCTATATCAGGTCACAAAGAGCCCATGAGATAATCCAAAAACGAATCCAAGAGGCTTCCGAGAGGCATCCCACTATTCATGTCTCTGACCTACAACCCTGGCACGATGGCGAAATGGGCCGAAACCTACACGATGTATATACAACATAAATGTACACACGCATGTGTGTATGTGTCGATGCCGATGTATATGTATATGTCTACGTTTAGGTACATGTGTGTATGTGTGTAGGTGTATGTCTGTGCATGTGCGTATGGAAGTGCAGGTATATGTATATGTATATGGATATGGAAGAGGCACTACAAACGTTTGTGTACATGTGTATGTAGCTAGTTAGGCAGATGCATATGTTCATGTATGTATGTGCGTGTGTAGATGTATATGTATGTATATATTGGTATATGCACACGTAGATGGTCCTGCACATGGGCAAGCCTAAGTATGCATATACATGTGCATGTCATGTGTATGCATGTTGTATGTGTATACACAGTCATGCATGCACACATACATACATACATACATACATCCATACATACATACATACACATACATACATAGATGCATGCATACATACGCAAACGCACACACACACATACATACATACATACATGCATGCATGCATGCATACATACATACATACGTGCATACATACATACCACACACATGCATACATGTATGCATGCATGCATGCATGCATGCATGCATGCATGCATACATACATACATAAATACATACATACGTACGTACGTACGCACGTGCATACATACATACATACATACATACATACATACATACATACATACATACATACATACAAATACACATATAAATATGTGAGTGTGAGCACGTGACTGTGCATATGCATGTACACATATATCTTTATATATATATATATATCCAGGCAAGTATGGATGGCTCTGCATAGACGTATCTGAGTACAGTCTGGTGTGGGTACAAGCGTATATATATTTCTATATATATATATACACATACACCCTGCACACACACACCTACGTAGACACATACATATATATATATATATATATATATATGTGTGTGTGTATGTGGTTGGATCCGCCACAATGCCCTCAAAGCACGAGCTGGAATGTCCTCAGGTCCTGCGCCGAATCCCCCAAGCCTCAATTTTCAATCCTAAGGATTTGTTCAAGGGCCCGGACACAAATTTGTCAAATCTACTAGGGCTCCCCGCGTGGCCCCTGGCGCCTGGAGTACCTTCTCGCGGACTCGTTCGGGCCCAAGAGAGCCCCCAGACGGGCCAAGAGGGCCCCAAGAGGCCCCCAAGACGGTCCAAGAGAGCCCCGAATCGTCGCATGATCGATCCAGGTCGCCCAAATCGGTCTCAAGACTGCCCAAGATGCCCCCAGGACGCCCTCTGAGGCCTCCAAGAGGCCTCCCAAGAGGGAGGCAAACAATAGTGATTTGCCTGAGGTGTTTGAAGGGCTTTGACTTTCTCGCCTGTTCGGCTTCCCGACGCTCCAAGATGGCTTAAGAGGCCCCCAAGATCGGCCCAAGACGGCCCAAGAGACGACTAATAGGGCCCAGCAACGACCCCAGAGGGCCCCAAGATGGTCAAGAGGCCTCCCAAACGGCCCAAGATGCCCCCAAGACGGCTCCGGGAGGGGCCCCAGACGGGGGACCCGAACGGACATGTCGAGCCCTCGGGATCAAAAGGCCCTCAGGAGGCCCAAAGAGGCCGCACGAGGCCCGAAGGAGGCCCCCAAGGGGCTCTCAAGACGAGGAAGAGAGACGCCACAATGTGCTCGAAGAGTAGGCCCTGGCCCGAAAGATCCCAGCGCCCCCCCCCCGGCCTGCCAAGGTGCTGCGCGCCAGCCCCGACGCCTGAGCGCGTGGAACCCCCTCGGAGGCCCGCGCGGATCTCTCGCATCGGCGCTGGACCCCCCTCGTTGGCGCGGGGAGTGGACGCTGCTTCATGGGGAACGGTAGACGGGTGGGGTGGGGGGAGGGCGAAGCCACGCGCAGCGTTCGTGCCCCTCCCGGGGCCCAGGGAGCGCCCTTCTGGGGCTCCTGGGGACCACAGCGCCCGAGGGAAGCGCGCGCGCCAGGAGCGGCGCCAGAGGGCGCCGAGGCAGGAAATCCGCGCGGATCTCCGAGAAGAGTTGGTGTTCATGCAAAGGTGTACTCGTCGACCGTGTATGCGTGAGAGTTGTGTGTGTGTGTTGGTGTGTGCGTGTGTGTGTGCGTGTGTGTGCGTGTGTGTGTGTGTGTGTGTGTGTGTGTGTGTGTGTGTGTGTGTGTGTGTGTGTGTGTGTGTGTGTGTGTGTGTGTGTGTGTGTGTGTGTGTGTGTGTGTGTGTGTGTGTGTGTGTGTGTGTGTGTGTGTGTGTGTGTGTGTGTGTGTGTGTGTGTGTGCGTGCGTGCGTGCGTGCGTGCGTGCGTGCGTGCGTGCGTGCGTGCGTGCGTGCGTGCGTGCGTGCGTGCGTGCGTGCGTGGGTGTGTGTGTGTATGTGTGTGTGTGTTTGTGGGTATACGTTGGTGTGTGTGTGTGTGTGTCTGTGTGTTGTGTGTTTTGCTGGTCAGCCCCTGCAGATGGAACGGCTGGGCCCCGTGCTGCCGAGGAGGGGGGGGGCTCGAGAAACGTCCGCCGCCGTCCTCCTCCGTCCTCGATTCTCGATTCTCGTCCTGCTGGCTCCTGCCTCTGCCTCCTCCTCCTCCTCCTCCTCCTCCTCCTCCACGTATTTCTCACCAGCCTCCCCGTCGTCCTCGTCCTCCTCGCCCTCGTCGTCCTCGTCGCCGCTTGGTTGCGTGATGCTCGACCCCCGTCCGCAAAAAAGGCTGCCCATGCTGGACAGAACCATGCTGACAACACTGCATCGCTATAATGTATGTATGAGCTGCGTCTACATCGCAGAGCCGGGGGGGGGAGGCTGGGGAGGAGCACGCCACTCCTTGACAAGAACCTTGCCAAGATTCGTGGCCGCCCCACCTCCAGGGCGACCTCCAAATCCAACCAAGAGGCTCTTGGTTCGTGTTCGGATACCACCTCGTCCGTGTCCTTGTCCTCGCCATTCTCGTCCTCCTCGGCCTGGTCCTTGTCCTCGTCCTTCTCGTCCTTGTCTTGCCCTTCCTCTTCATTCTCGTCCTTGTCCTCGTCCTTCTTTGTCCTCGTCCTTGTCCTCGTAATCGTCCTTATCCTCGTCGCCCTCGTCCTTGTCCTCGTCTTCCTTTTCCCCGTCCGTGTCCTTGTCCTTGTCCTCGTCCTGGTCCTCGCCCTTCCTCGTCATCGTCCTTCCTCGTCACCGTCCTTCCTTGTCCTCGCCATCGTCCTCGCCCTCGTCCTCGTCCTTCCTCGTCCTCGTCCTCGGCCTCGCCCTTCCTCGTCCTGGTCCTTCGTTGCTCTCGTCCTTGCCCGCGCCCTTCTCGTGACGACCGCGTGGGGCCCAGGGGCGGCGACCGCGGCGGCGGCCGCCGCGCGGGCGGAGCGCCGGCCTTCGGCATCCCTGCGGGGTGCCCCGCAGGGGGGCGGCCAGCGCGGGGGGGGGGCGGGAGGCGAGCGTCGGCGGCGCGCAGAAGGAGGAAGTTGGGGAGCCCACAAAGGACGTGCGCGCCCAGCTATGTACATGCTCCCGGCCCCTTGACCTGCGAGACCTGCCGCGTGACACGAACATTCGCGCAATGAAGTCTCTCGAAACCAGCGTGGGTTCATGTACGTGTACGGCCTTCTTTCGCTCCTGAGAAGTGAGAGGGTGGGGGGGGGGGAACGACAGGGCCCACGAGCTCGTCAAGACACTGGTTGGCTCGAGCCCTCCCTCCGCATACCCCGAGAAGCTCCCCAGATGCCCCCCCGGCGGCCCGACACAAGGGCCCCCCGAGAGGCTTGCCAGGAGACCCCTGGAAGCCCACCAGAGAGGCCCGCAAAGAGGCCCCCAAGAGGCCACAAGTACACAGTCAACCCGTACGAGAAGGACGCACGGTAAGGATGCAAGGGCCTCGGAAGGCCATGTCGACACTCTGCGAGCGGAGCGCGGCCACGAAGTCGGCCCAGGAAGGGCCGAAGGGAAAGGATGCGAAGGTAACCTTGGAAATTCTGGTTGACTGCAGGGAGGGGGGGCTGGCACAGGGGGGGGGGGTAACATCGACCTGGCATTGGCGACGTCTCGCCGATGGACCGGCGAAAGGCCCCCGAGCGTGTATGCGCAGGTTCCTGGGCGGGGGTGGGCGATCGGGCCCCCATCGGCGATGAGTGGACGATCGGGGTCGATGCGTCCCCCCCTATGCCTATCCCCCCCCCTGGTCGTTGTCCTGGGGAGGTGAGAGGGAGGCGGCGGGGCTCCGGAGAGAGTCTCGAGGGCTCCGGCAGGAGGCCTCCTGAGCCTTCTGGGAGGGCCCGCCCCCTCTGCCCTTTCCCCCCTCCGGGCGCGCCGCCGATGGGGGGGCGGGCGGCGCGAGGGCGCTGCGGGGCGCGCGCGCGCGTGAGCGAGCAAGGCGCGCCGCCCAGGGGTGGGGCGGGGGCGCGGGCTCGGCCTGCAGGCGGCTCGAGAGGTCGGGCCCCGAGGAGGAGGAGCCCCATGCGGGCGCGGGCCCGGGGGAGGGGGGGAGCTGGCCCCTCAGTGCTGGCCCCACCCGATGGAAAGCTGCCAGCCTGATCGAAAGTTGGAACGGACCCCGAGACCATCTGCGGGGGGTGGGAAGGAAGGGGGAGGGGGGGGGGGGGCCTCCCGCCGAGTGGCGATCCGATCGGCAATAGAACGCTCGCCTCCCTCCTCCCTGCTTTCCCTTTCCTGCTTTCTCCCCCTGCTCCTCTCCCTCTCCTCCTCATTCCCCTCCTCCTCCTTCCTCCTCCTCCTTCCTCCATCTCCTCCTCCTCCTCCTCCTCCTCCTCCTCCTCCTCCTCCTCCTGCTCCTCCCCCCGTAGCCATTTTGGCTCAAGCCATTTTGGCTCAAGCCATTTTGGCTCAAGTTGCCACCGCTCAAGCCAGCTGGGCAGGAGCAGCCTGCCCCCCCCTTTTCTCCTACACCCACGCGCCGCAGTTTCCGCCATGTCTTCCAGGACGCCTTGGGTTCGCAAAGAAGGAGTAGGATCTCCTGTTGTTTCGCATTCAAAGTAATTTTGCCCGCGTGGCTTCTCAGCCGTTATGTAAGTGCGGCCTTCCGTGGCATGGGAAGAGTTCCCAGCCACTTCCCCCACCTCCGCCACCACCGTCAGCAGCGAAGTCTGGTCGCACAGAAAGGATCAAGGCTGAGGTAGTAGTTGGCAGGGAGAAGTCTCAGTCCAAACACAAGCCCACTGTTCAGGTAGAAGCCGACAGTGAGAAGACGCAGCCACCGCCGCCTCTTGTGGCAGTGAAGGCCAATCCCAAAGATAAGGCCGCTCGCCAGGTAGAAGCCGACAGAGAGCAGGGCCAGGATTTCAAAGTCAGGCATCAGTTCAAGTTTTTGATCTCGGATGTCTTCCAGCAGTACGAACCGCAGATGCTGGATCAGTTGGACCATTTCTTGGACAAGTACAAAGGGCAAGCACAGTTTCTTTATTTGGCAGTATGCGAGAAATTCAATGTGGAGCCTAAGGTAAAGGTTCAGATCACCAAGAAGGAAGACAAGCTTCCAGTTTTGGACAGCGATAGCGTGTCCGACTCACCTTCTGCCAGTCAACATGTCGACAGTCCTCGTTCGACTTCTCCAGAGCACGCTAGTAAGCGTGCAAAGGTTGGGCACAGCGATGCCGACCCCTCCAGTGGTTCTGCCCCGTCCAGTTCAAAACTGCTGGAGTTAAAGTGTGGTCTCCAGGATATCAAGATCAAGCACCTCCAGCAGAAGCTAGAGACACTCCAGGAGGAGCTCAATCGTGTTAAGAATCAAAACGCAGCTTCAGGCAGCGCGCCTGTTCCTAGGAGGAGCAGATCCAGCTCAGACTCCACTTCTTCAAAGTAATTTGAGCAAATATGTTGGTAGTATCCAACTTTCTTTCAGCGGCAGAATGTTAATTGCATCTTGGGCTAAATGGCAACTTGAGTATTGGCTTAGTGAGCATAATTCCTCGGCTACAGGTTTTGGTATACTCCTTTTGTGTTGGTCCTTTCGTTTGGGTAGGACAGTTGTCGGCTACCCAGCGTTCTTTTACCTTCACGTCTTGTTTCCTTGGCCAGATCGGCAGAACTGTGAAGCAGGTAGCTTACCTGCAGTTTCTTTCATGCGCTAGTTGGGCAGCTGTATTCAGCCCAGTTTATTGTACTTGTCAGGGGTCCAGGAAAGTCTGGCGAAGTATTCCCCTAGTATTCTCTCTTCCCTTTGGGGAACGGAGGTCTCGCTCTGCTAGGGGACTCCCATTAGTATGTGGGAAGAAAGTTTACCCCAGTGCTTTGCAGTCTTGATCTCCTTCCCCTTCCCTTGTCCTACTGTCTTCCCCCCTCCCTCCTTCCTCCCTCCAGACAGTTTAAGGAATTGGCAGCCAGGTCACAGGCGTAAGCAAGTGGCCTTCCCTGGCGGGTCTTGCCATGGTCTCACCATGCTCGAAAGTCCGAACCTGCAAGTTGGCGTTCAGGGATTGCTCTTGTCTGGGGAGGGGGTCACTGGTGGGTGGGATGGGATTCTCCGCCCCGTTCTGGGGAAGTTCTGCATTGTTTCTGCTCTGGCCTGGGAACGGCCCATTAGAAGGTGGGCAGCGTTTAACCCGGGCGAGTTGTGTTTCATGCATGTCCTTCTCCTCCTCTCCTCCTCTCCTCCTCCTGGGGTAGGGTTCTTGGCGCCGACTCGGAACTGGCAACGCCCCAGGCTTGGACTGGGGGTCAGTTGCTGTCCGCGGAACGTGCTTGAGCTTCAGTTCAGCCCCGAAGCGAATGTCAAAAAAATGTCCTCCTGCTCCTCCTCATCTCCCACGCCCACCGCTGGAACTCAAATCTGGCGCACGCGCGTTGTGCGAGCGAGAGACCACTGGCCCTCTGCAACATGATCTTGTCGAATGGCAGGCCCGATGCTCTGCTTGTCGGTCAAGCCACAAGCCTTCTTTGTCGCCACTGTGCATCCTCCCGGCCGCCGATGCAAGCAACAACGTCCTCCCACCTCCGCTACCCTCCTCCGCGTCCCCCGCCTGCCTCCCTCCTCCCTCCCCACCCTGGCACACGAGATCAGTGAGAGAGACAGTCATGCCGACGCTCAGCAGCAACAGCCTCCCCCCTGCGAGGGCTGCGACGACGAGCCGCGAGGGAGGGGTGGGGGGAGCAGGCAGGAGGAGGAGGAGGAGGAGGAGGAGGAGGAGGAGGAGGAGGAGGAGGCGGAGGAGGAGGAGGAGGAGGAGGAGGAGGAGGAGGAGGAGGAGGAGGAGGGAGAGGAGGAGGGGGAGGAGGACGGGGGAGGAGGAGGGTGGGAGGAGGAGCAGGAGGAGGAGGAGGAGGAGGGAGGAGGGAGGAGGGAGGAGGAGGAGGGAGGAGGGAGGAGGAGGAGGGGAGGAGGAGGAGGAGGAGGAGGAGGAGGAGGAGGAGGAGGAGGAGGAGGAGGGAGGAGGGGAGGAGGAGGAGGAGGAGGAGGAGGAGAGAGGAGGAGGAGGAGGAGGAGGAGGAGGGGAGCAGGAGGAGGAGGAGCAGGAGGAGGAGCAGGCCTTTTCTCCGCCCCGCCGCGCGGCTCGGCGGGCAGAGTGGCGACGGTGCGCGTTGCGGCCTCTCGCCGCATGGCCGCCCGGGCGGCGGCCCAGGCCGCCGCTCGGGCGCGCCCGGAGGATCGCAGGGGGGAGGGGTTGGGGCTGCCTCCGAGGGGGGCGGCGTGGCGGAGGGGGGAGGAGAGGGCAGGGAGGAGGGAGGGGGACAGGGAGCACGGGGGAGCAGGGAGGAGGAGGAGGAGGGAGCAGGGAGGAGGGTGGAGCAGGGAGGAGGGCGGGAGCAGGGGGGGGGAGGAGAGGAGCAGGAAGGAGGACGCCCAAGATCTGGGGGGCCTTGTGGGGCTAGGAGGCCTCTCAGAAGCTTCTTGAGCACCTCCCCTGAGATCCGAAGCTCCAAACAAAATTTGAGCGGGTGGTTTTTGATAGTTTTCGGTCTCCAGGGGCCCTCGCCGGGCCTCGGGGGCGTCAAACAACGACTCAGGGCGAAAACCTGGCCCCAGGGAACTGGTCCAGTCATCTGGGGTCAACGCATCGAACAAATTGCAGCAGTCGGATGTCTGGGTCTTGGGGTGGAGGACTCGAAATGTCAAATCGAGCTCCCCATCTTGAGCCTCTCTTGGGGCCAAAAGGGAGCCCGTTGGGGCCGTATTTGGCGCCTCTTGGGCCATCTGGGAACCCTCTCGGACCGTCTGGAAACCCTCTTGGGTGCCAAGATGGCTCCAGGTGGACACGGAGTCTCTCAAGGACCCCCCCCTCCCCGAGAGACCAGATTCCAAAACCAATGGGCTATCAACATCGTTTTGTACTCTCTCTCTCTCTCTCGCCTTTTCGCTTCCCACGGGCCCGTAAGGCCTCAAGATGACTCCGATATAAAGCCCCAAGAGAGGCCCAAAGGGGACCGAAGACGGCCCCGGGAGTCCCTAGATGCATCTTATCTGCGTCCTGGGGGGGTCGTACTTAAGGACCGCCCCAACAGGGCCCCAAGGGGGCCCAAAGGCCTCCAAAACGGTCCGAGGAGGGCCTCACGATGGCCCGAGCATGCCTCCAAGAGGCTCCCAGTGCGTGACGGCTGCTTGATGTTACGCAACCCCGATCAGGCAGCTCGCTTGGTGAGTGCTTTTGGCTGGGCTGGTGGGGATTTGGATAACGCGAATTGTCAAGCCTTGCCGATGAGCGCGGCGGAGACGAGACGTCCGCGCCGCGCCGAAGCAGCACTGCCGCTCTCACTGAACTTCTGTGCGGCTCTGGGCGAGAACACCACCTCAATGGGCCACACTGACGCTGCCGCGTTCCCACGAGTTCTGCGGCAACGCATGGGAGACGACCACACCATCTTCTAAGCTCTTGCGAACCGACACTAACCTACGCTGATCGAGGCTAAGTCGACGCTAATCGAGGCTAAATCGGCGCTCGTCGACGCTACATCGCCGCTTCCCCATCGACTACCAGACGCTGGCGCAGGCCCATACACTGAAGCGACGGAATTACGAAGACACGAGCCTGGGTAGTCGAAGCCAATCTGGCGCCAATCTGGCAGGCCAAATCTGGCAAACGGGGGCAATCTGGCGAGGGAGCCAACGCGAATCCAGTCTGGCGAATAACCCAAATCATCCAGCTTGGCCAGGCCAGATTGGCCCGTGGGGCCCAATCCAATCTGACAGTCTGGCCTTCGACTGCCCAGCGAGCCCCCCATGATCTGCTACCGAACTCGATTCGGCGACCGAACAGCATGTCCCGCGTCCAAGCGGCATCACCATTTCAAGCGACATCTACACGAGTGGTGGGGCGCGACCCAGGAGGAGGATGAGAAGGAGGAGGAGGAGGAGGAAGAGGAGGAGGAGGAGGAGGAGGAGGAGGAGGGAGGAGGAGGAGGAGGAGCAGGAGGATGAGGAGGAGGAGGAGGAGGAGGAGGAGGAGGAGGAGGAGGAGGAGGAGGAGGAGGAGAAGGACTCGGCGAGTGACACAAGGCGCCGCGCCCGAGCGGGGTCGCCACTCTCGGGCGAGATCTGCGCAGCGCCGCGGCGAGGCCGACCGCTCTCCGGCGAGCGCGCGGAGCCTGCCGTCGGGGAGGCGGCGAACGACAAATGGATGGGCGCGGCGCCCAGGAGGAGGAGGAGGAGGAGGAGGAGGAGGAGGAGGAGGAGGAGGAGGAGGAGGAGGAGGAGGAGGGGGAGGGTCACGGGCGCCCCGTCCCATTCCTGCCACGTATGTTGCAACGTCGCCTGCAAAACGCCCAGGTTGACAGGCGCAACGAACACTGTCTACGGTCTTTGATGGCTAGGGCGGACCCCCCCGGATGGCATCGTGATCGGCCGACTAGGTGGCGGGGTGGGAGCGTATGCTTACAACGAGTCAGGGCATGGCCATACGCAAAGCCAATTGATGACTACACAACATGAGCTAATTACACATAGCAGCAACGCATACGCTTCTCGGCTGCACTTAAAATCTTAGGCTGCAGCACTCTGGAGATTCTACATAGAGGTACTCCAATCTGGTGGGAGTCACCTGGCTACCAGAGGTGCAGGCAGATGCTTCAACAGAAGAAGAAGAAGAAGAAGAAGAAGAAGAGGAAGAAGAAGAAGAATGAGGAGAAGAAGCAGAAGCAGCAGCAGAAGAAGAATAATAAGAACCATCGGTGCGGGCAGAGACTCTCCGAGGACCGCGCGGACCTCTCGCGTCGGTGCTGCGCGAGCGCGCCAGAGGCGGCCCCGGAGGCGCCGCCGAGGCGGGCCCGGTCGCCGAGCCACGCAGCCGCGCGGGCGCCCGCAGGCTCACCCCGTGGCTCGGGGACGGCGGGGCTGCCCTGGCCAGCGCTCGGACGTCCCTTCCTCGAGAATTTGTCGATGTCGCGCGTGCTTTTTCCGCTGAGTCATCCAGGATGCTCCCCCATGGTCCTCGCCGAGGGGACGGCGCGGCTGCTCTGGCCATCGCTCGGACGTCCATTCCTCGAGAATTTTTCGATTTCGCGCGTGCTTTTTCCGCTGAGTCATCCAGGATGCTCCCCCATGGTCCTCGCCGAGGAAAACATGCACACGTCAAGGCGATGCCAAGTGCTCCGGCAGGGGCCACCCTCGGCCACGACCGGGCTCTCCCCGCCGCGCGGCGGAAGGAGGCGGCCCGGTGCCCCATCCGGAGCCCCGGGCGAGCGACGGATCGGAGACGGGCCTTGCGCGAGACGACGCGTCGACCTGACGCGGTGGCGTACGCCCAGCCGCGGTCGCGGCGCGCCACGCTCGAGACGAGGGCAGCTCACGCGCGGCCCTGCGCGGGCAGCTCGCGCGCGGCCGTCGGCGGAGACGACCCCGTTGCTTGGCAACTCTCGGGTGGTCCCGATGGCAGCGTCTTGGCTGTATCAAGTTGCGTGCTCCGAGAGGAAGAAGAGGGAAGCGAAAAGCAGGAGTGGAGTGGAGGAACAAAGAACGACGTAAACACAACTTCTCGGAAGTCCTCGCGGATTTCTTGGATCCGCGCTGGGCCCACCTCCCTGGCGCGCGGAGCGCGCCCGGTGCGGCGCTGGAGGCGCTGGCATGGGCGTCCCAGAGCCGATCCAAGAGATCCGCGCGCAGCTTCGAAAGCCTACGTTCATGCCGTTCTTGGTTACTCGATGGAGGTAGTCTGCCCCGCCAGGAACACTTGGGCGGCGCGCAGAGGGGGGCAAGGGGGGGATAGGGGGGAAGGCTTCTGAGAAGCACCCCTGCTCCTGAGAGGGCGCGGGCCTTGTCTGCAGACGCAAGGCCGGCGCCCTCCAAGAAGCAGGGGTGCTCCTCGGAAGCCTTCCCCCCTCCCCCCTAATTGCCCCCCTCTGCGCGCGGCCGAAGAACGGGGACGCCCACAGCTTCGGGAACAGCCCCTGCCCCCAGGCCGTCGGGCAGCGGGGCGAGCATACGGACATCCGCCCGCGTGGAGTGCACGCGGGCCCCGTGGTGTCGTCGGCAGCGCGCGCCCCGAAACCCGACGCTGTGAGCTTGGTCCAACGCGTGGCCCCGAGAAGGTCCCGACTCCTTCCCCGGGGACGCTTTCCCGCCGCGGGTTCGTTTTTGAGGGCCTCGGGGGCCCGACAACGGGCCCCAGAGGCTTGGGCGTCGCGTGATGGGGGGCGATACGTGGGGGGGGGGGGGAGGGGCGCGAGGGCCGCAGAAAAGGGGCCATTTAAGGCCTCTAGAAGGGCCCTTTAGGGCCCGAGAGGGGGCCTCTGGGGCCCGAGAAGTTCACCGTTCTACCCCCTCCCTCTATTAATCGCCCCCCCCCTCCCATGAGCGAAGCCCAAAGGCCGAACCGAGGGAAAACTCGGGGACTGATCAACGCACATCGTCGGAGATCTGGGTGTGTGAATGCTGTGGTTCAGTAAGAGGGCCCTGGGCCCCAGCTGCCCCGGGCGTCCTTGGGCGTTCTCGGGGATCTCCGCGTGGCCTCCTCCGAGGCCCTGGGCTCGGTATGCTTGGGGTCTCAACCTCCAACATGCCCTGATGTGGACCCTCCTCATCACCATCCTTCCCCTCCTCATCCTCCGCTCCCTCCTGCTCCTGCTTCTCCCTCGCCTCTCCTCCTCCTCCTCCTCCTCCTCCTCCTCTTCCTCCTCCTCCTCCTCCTCCTCCTCCTCCACAAGGCGAACCCAAGAGCCCAAGAGGCCCCCAAGACGGCCCAAAGAGACGCCCAAAAGGGGAACTCGAGCCGACACTTGAGGCCCTCCGCCCCGAGATGGCCCCCGAGACCGCCAGTAAGCCCCCAAGAGGCCCCTGATCCCCAAGAGGCCTCCGGGAGGCCCCCAGGAGATCTCCCAGAGGCCACAGCGAGGGATCCAAGAGGCCCATAAGACCTCCGAGAAGCCTTTGTCCACGACGCAAGCATAATGGGCCGCAGGCCACTAGATCCGCTTGCCGGCGGTGCTCGGCGTGACAGATGTGGAGGCACTTTCGGCGGCCTCCCGGACGAGGTCTGAGCTGTCGGAGGAGCGCGCCACATCGCCGACGCATCAGCGACGGCGGGGTGGAGCAGAACGGGCTCCAAATCGGGCCGTACGCAGATGCGGATAAGAATGAGGGGGCGGTGGGGACGTCGGCGGTTTGCCAGACTCTGGAGAAGCCCGCCGCAGGCGCCAAAGTTCCACAAATTATGCCACGAGCCCGCCGCAGGCGCCGATTTTTTCGTTAAACCAATGTGGGTAGGTCGCGGGTGGGTCGATATTGGGTCGCGGGTGGGTCGCGGATGGCTAAGGGGTGGGTCGCGGGTGGGTCGCGGGGTGGGTCGTGGGTGGGTCGCGGGTGGGTCGCGGGGTGGGTCGCGGGTGGGTCGCGGGCTGGGTCGCGGGTTGGGTCGCGGGGTGGGTCGCGGGGTGGGTCGCGGGGTGGGTCGCGGGGTGGGTCGCGGGTAGGTCGCGGGTGGGACGACGACAACAAACAAACAAACAAACAAACAAACAAACAAACCACACAAACGCAACAAGCAGAATCCTCACCATGGATCCCCATTTCAGCCACGCACCCAGGGACAGTGAACGACAGTTCGGCCCCCTCACTCTGATAATTGATAATCGATGCATGAGCGCTGCGGCGCGATCCTCCGACCCCACTTGCTCCAGCCCCATTTGGGCGACGATCAGAAAGGGGTCTTACGCGAGCTGAAGTAGCGACCTTACGCCGCAGCTTACGCGGGCCGCCAGCGCGGCACGCTACACTGGAAGCGAGGGCTTACGCGCGACCTTGAGAGGGCAGCTTACGCGCGAACATCGGTGCAGACCAGACGACGCAGTTTTCATTCGTCGCTCCTTTGGGTAACCTGGAACATCGTGACCCTTCCCAAAGGCTCCGACCGACCTTCTGCCCGACCCGCCAGCCACCAAGAAAAACCCGCAGAGCGAGCACAGGAACGAGAAGACCCGTCTCCAATATGGCCACGATGATCGTTTGCGATCTTGAGAGCGCTCAAGACGGCCCACGAGGTCCCGAAGGCCAGTCAAAGTAGGCCACGAGAAGACCCCAAGAGCCCACGAGGATCTCAAGAAGGACCCACAGACGCCCGAGACGCCCTCCGAAGGCGCTGCATTGGGCCGACAGGCGCCCTGGGCTGGCCCCAGGGATTCCCAGGATGGTCTACGAGGGCCACCGGAGGCGCCCAAGAAGGCTCAAGAGCCCTCGAAAGAGCGCCAAGAAAGCCCCAAGAGCCAGAGACGGCCCCAGCCTTCCCAGTGTTCCACCCGTGGGTTCCCAGAGGCTGGGGGGAACAGCCCACTAGCATGGCCGCACTCACGTTCACTCGACATTTCACGACACGGGCGTTGCCAGGAGGCAAATGGGCGGTGATGGCTCGCCGTAGGCGTTTTCGGTGTTCCCGCCATCTGAAGCCCTAGCTCAGGACACCGAAACCGTGGGCATCGATGTATCCTGGCGGTGGACATAAATGCACTCACCCAACCTACTACAGGCAGTGCTCTTTGAGCAACGTTCCACGGGATCCTGGCTAGTGCAGGATGCAATGGGAACTCTGCTCCCACAGGTCTCTCTCTGGGTCAAAAGCCACACAGTGTTGCGGCCTGAACAGGTGAAGCTGCTCGAACCAGCACGGTTCACCGTCTCATCCCTCCCCATCCCAGTCTCTCCTCTCGAGAGCATCCTTGAACTGCTGGACCGCCCGCCAACCCTGATTGCGCGGCCGAGCTTCTAGCGCGGCCAATTGACCTGGCGTGTGCAGAGAGGAGCACTCTTTGGAGCTCCTAAAGAAATAGACGAGCGGGACCACACAACCAGCATAAGCACAGGCTTTAAGGAGGTCCGCGCCGATTTCTTGGATTGGCGCTGACCCCCCAGACGCGCCTCTGGCGCCGCCCCTGGCTGAGGGGCAACGATAGGGAGGGACTGGCATAGAGGGGGACACATCGACCTGGAATCGGCGATCCATCGCAGACAGATCGGCGATGGGACCCCGAGAGTGAATCCGCAATTTCCTGGGCAATCTGGAGCTATCGGGCCCCCATCGGCGATGAACGAGCGACTGGGGGTCGACGCATCCCCCCCATGCCATCCCCCTGTATCGTTGTCCCTGACTGGCGCGATCCGCGTGCCAGGGAGGGGGATATGGCCCCGTTCCGAGAAAAACCACGCGGACCCCGCCCGAAACCCTGACGCTCGTGCCGATCTGCTCCTCCCGTGGAGGAACAAAGCACTGCACAAACATACACTTTTCGAGTAGGGGATCGACTACAGAATTGACTTACCCGAGAATTGATTTGCTCGTCTGATCAGCAAAAGGATACGCAACATGTTGGTAGGTCAGCAAGACGATCTTCGCATTTTCCGTAGATTCGATTGGCCAACTAATTTGGGGGTAGATCCATTCTGCAGTCGATCCCCTACTCGAACTTTCGGAGGTCCGCGCGGAGTTCTTGGATCGGCGCTGGGCCCCCCCTCCCCGGCGCGAGGAGCGCGCAACGGGGCAGCGCTGGAGGCGCCGCCAGGGGGGAGGCCCAGCGCCGATCCAAGAAATCCGCGCGGGCCTCCGAATGTTGGTGTCTATGCTGGTTTTGCCTGCTTCGGATGAAATTTGAAGGGAAACTGGGACACACAAATAAATACACACAAATAACAAGATTCCTCATATTTTCCTATATTTTCTGGGTTTTTGTCTTCCCCCCCACTTCCCATATTTCCCCATATTTTCCTGGAAATCGACAAATAATTGTGTCTGTGTGTTTTTCTCCCTCCTGAAAATTGAGCAGGGCGGGCTGAAAGTTGAGACAACGGCAGCTCAAATCGGTCCCCGGACCCGCCCAAGGGCCCAAACGCACCAGCTTCCCGAGCTGCGTTCAGCCGCAGCGACAGCTGGGCCCCGAGGTAGGGCCCCTTCCCCGTCCCTGCCGCCTGCGCAAAGAAAACGGCGGCCGGAACGCGCGCGTGGTGCGCGCCCCAGCGAGGGCGCGACGCAAACGGCCGCGCGCGGCGCAGTGTGTGAGCGCAGCGCGGTCGCGACCAGCAGATCGCGGGCTCCCCGAGTGAGGGACAACGCTAGGCGCTAGGAGGGGGGGGCTGGCTCGGGGGGGTGGAGGGGGGAACATCAACCTGAACTCGGCGATACATCGCCGATACATCGGCAATGAGCCGTAGAATAGCGAATCCTCACGCTCCTGGGCGGGGTGGGGCTATCGAGCCCTCATCGGCGATGAACGGTCGATCATTCCCCCCGCAACCCATCCCCCCAAATGATCCTCGTCGTCCGGTCTTCGGGGCATAACTCGGGTCTCAGGCGGCCGTTCGGGACGATCTGGGAAACCCTGGAACGCTCGTGGCTAGGCGCAGCCGCTGGAAGGCACCCCGAGGCTGGAAAGCAGCCGAGAACCGACGAAGACATACCACCAGCTCTAACCTCTGACTGGCGTTTCCCCTGACTGAGAGCCTCCGAGCGCCTCTGCGGGGCTCCGAGGGCCGCTGGGGGTCGCCAAGCGTCCAGTACACAGACATCCAAGCGTCCAGTACACAGACATCTGGCGCTCCAATTGTTGTCGATGCGTGGACCCCTGGAGGTCTGGACAACTTCCCCAACGCCGTTTGTTCATCCTGAATCATTTTTTGACGGTCAGCAAATGACCCCAAACCGGCCGCTCCAACTTTCGGCAGCGCGCCAAAAAGGGAAGTGAGAGGGGGCGGGCCTTCTCAGAAGGCTCGGAAGACCTCCGGCCTTCTGAGTAGCTCTCTAAGCCTTCCCCGAGGACAAGGACAACTTCTCAGATGGCGGGAGGGCTTCTGAGAATACCCGCCGCCTTGTGAGGAGGCCTGCCCCGTCTCACTTCCCCCCCCTGGCCCGCCGCCGAGATTTCCCTCTGGCCGACGGCGAGCCCTGTTCAAAATGAGCCGGAACTGCTGTGCGTCTTCGTCACATATCTTGTCGCACTCCTGTCGATCGCCGCCGGCAAAAAACGACGCCCCTGGGTGCGCCGCCGAGTTTGGGTGTCAGGTCATATCTCGGGCCTCCAGCGGACTCCAGCGGCCGTCCGGGAGAATCCCGGCACCCCCGCAGCGCTCGTGGCGAGGCGCCGCTGCTGGACACGCCCCCCGCGGCCAGAAGAGGACGCCGCGCGCCGACGAGCGCGCCCGCAGACTTTAGCTCCGCCGAAGCGCTCGAAGACTGGCCGCGCCGATTCTGGTCGGAGCCCCGGATCTCCGGGCGAGCGCCCGCGCGCTGGCCGTGTCGCGCGCTGCCCGCGCGCTGCCCGCGCGCTGGCCCCCTCGCGCGCGCGCGCAGCCCAGACATCGGGCGTCTCGAAAAAATCGAGACAAAGGTTTTTCATCGTTTTCGGCCTCTGGAGGCCTTCGCCGGGCCTCGGGACCGTCAAAAAACGACTCGGGATGAAAAACCGGTCCCGGGGAAGTGGTCGGGAGGTGGGGGGCCCGTGTCTCGAAAAAATCGAGACGTCGGATGTCTGGGAGAGGCGCGCGGCTGCGCGTGCGGCCGGCGGCGCTCCGCGCCGCGGGCGCAGCGCCCGGCGGTCCGGGCGGGCGCGGCGGGCGGGCGCCTCCGGTCGGGGGCCGCCAGGAGCGCGGAGGCGGCGTGGAGTCGGGCCTGTCCCATTACAGGGGGAATATGCAAAAAATAGTCAAACAAATAGTCTGGGGACGCTGTTTTGACTATTTTTCAATGTGTGGGGGGTATGTTTGGGGTACGCTTCAGCATTCGCCCAGAATCCCCCTGTATACGGGGACACGCCCGACTTACAGCCGGCGGCGAGGAGTCGGCGGCGAGCGGGCGGTTTCCGGGCATTTTCCATTTTCGCCGTGTCTCGGCGGTCACGATTCTGTGCTGCTTTTGCGGCAAAAGCCACGCGCGGTTGAGCACAGTAATGCGACGCGTGCTACACCAACGCGCGGGACACAACCCAGAGATAGTCAACACAAACATCCATATCAGCCAGCGTTGACTCAAAATAGATAGGAGGACAGAAGGAGGACGAGAGAAGGATGGGAGGACGAAAGGAGGACGGGAGGAGCATAATCAAACAAGCGCAAGCAAGCAAGCGGAAACAGGCAAGCGCAAGCGAGCAATAACAAGCAAGCAAGAGCCAGCGATCAAGTGCAAGCAAGTAAGGGCAAGCGAGAGCAAGCACGCAAGAGCAAGTAAGCAAGTGTCATTGGAAAAAAGGGGGGTGTTATTGGAAAAAGGGGGGGTATTGGAAAAAGCGGAGGGGGTGCCAAATATTAATCACTCAAAATGAGCTAACTTCTATAGGGCAAACCTGCTTGGATAATGAAAACATCATCCCCAATCAGTCACGGCATCATGCAGCTACGAATTATTTAAGGCTAGTACAATTACTGACATGTGTAAACGTCAAACTCCAGCATGTGGTCAATCATGCTGCCGCCACTGCGTCTGCATCATGCAAGCACTCATTGGTCGCAAGCATGAGAACATGATGACGACGAGCAGGCGACATTGCTACGATATGATGAACTCGTCGTGTTCGGACGCAGTGGAAGGGCAATCGCATAACTGCTTCTTCAGGCGTGTGCTCCCACCCAGTACGTGATCGAACTTGCAAATTAAGTATATACAAATGGTCATGTAGCTTCCATTTGTGAACACTGATTCTAAAAGGTTACAAGAAACAACGAGGACGATCCCAATACATTTACATACTTCCACCTGGGATGCAATTCTTGTCAGGGGGGGTAGGTCCCGACAACGCCGTCGTCGTCGTCCTCCTCCTCCTCCTCGTCGCCGTTTGCGGGCGCCGGCAGGGACAGGGGGGATCCGAACTCCGCCGCCCGCGGGAACTTTTGAGAGTCGAGAGGTTGGGAGGGGGAAAGGGGAAGGATTCGAACCCCCGCCCCAAAGCTTCGAGGGGGTGAGATCGTGACCACCCCGCCCTCCCAACTGCCTTCCAGAGTGCACAGAACATGGTCTTTCGTCTCACCGTATGCCGATTCACCCGCTCATCGCGTTGTGGTGTGTGTGTGTGTGTGTGTGTGTGTGTGTGTGTGTGTGTGTGTGTGTGTGTGTGTGTGTGTGTGTGTGTGTGTGTGTGTGTGTGTGTGTGTGTGTGTGTGTGTGTGTGTGTGTGTGTGTGTGTGTGTGTGTGTGTGTGTGTGTGTGTGTGTGTGTGTGTGTGTGTGTGTGTGTGTGTGTGTGTGTGTGAATACCAATCCCTGCGCGAGCTTGGGGGGTTGAGGGGCAACGACAGCGGGGACTGGCATGGGGAGGGGAACATCGACCTGGAATAGGCGATACATCACCGATAGATCGGTGACAGGCCGATAGGCCGCCAAGTGCGAATCCGCACGTTCCTGGGAGGGGTGGGGCAGAGCCCTATTGGCGATCCATGGGCGATCGGGGGTCGTCGCGTCCTATGCCTATCCGCCCCTATCGCTGTCCCTGCACGAGCTCGATCCCTGCCCCGTGCCAGTGCCGAGGGGCAGTCCTGGCCCGAGATACCCCTGGCTTCTCGCGCAGCCCTCTGGGGTCTGTTCCTCGCGAGGAGCGCTTCTGGAGGCCACCCGGGGCCTCAGCGGAGAAGCCGGGGTCGCCTTCGCACCGCTGGGGGCGGGCCACGTCTTTTGGCAGGAGCTTCTGAGAAGGCAGGTGAGGTTCTAAGACGGCAGGGGTCTTTTCCGAAGCCCTCCAGGCTTCTAAGACTCTAAGAAGCCTCCTCAGGAGAATCCAGGCCCTTCAAAGAAGGCCCCTCCATTCAAGAAGCGCGCCGCCTTCTTAGAAGGCCTTACCCCCCTCGGGCCACCCCCTTGTGCGAGCCGCCGACGCTTTCAGCGCCCGGTCCGAGGACGAAGGCAGCGAAACAAAAACCACCGGACAGTCATCGGGCTACCAGCAGGAACCTCAAATCAGACACGAAGGGGCTTCTCTGGCCACGGCGAGCGTCGGCCACGAAGAGTTTCCACGACCTGCGCCTGAGCAGCGGCCCGAACATCGGAGCCCCCTCCGGAGCCCAGGCTGGTCCTTGTTCCAGCGTCTCGACTGCGAGCACAAACTTTCGGCAGCCCGCGCAGATGCCCCTGCGCCGCCAAGGGGCCCCAGCGCCGATCCAAGGACGTCCGCGCGGACCTCCGAAAAGCTGCGCGCGTTGCCGTGGCTTCGTCCGCCTCCGGCGGCAGCCGACCCGAGCAAAGAGGAGGGGCGGCAGGGACGAGGGAGCCATGCGCTGCCTCTCACACGCCGGGTCCCTCGGGCATCTGCGCACCACCGCCGTGCCTGGCCAGTGCCCCCCCGGGCCTGGGTGCACAGTCGGGGCGTTGACCTAAGGAACCCTACATGAGGAACGAGGCCCCCTTCGATGTCCCACCGGAAACCCCAGGGAGACCGAAGGCAAACTGCAGAACAATCAAGGAACACCGAGCCCCTCCCCAACGAGAAGGGTTCCTTCTTCAGGGCCCCGACTGCAGACCCGCCCGGTCCTGGTCAGAAGGGCGTGCACGCCATGCCAGGGCCCAGGGCTGGAGGGGAAGCGAACGGGGGCCATGACCAAGACTGAGCGCGCAGACGTCGTGTCGATCTTGGCCACCGTCGGTCTTGGTCGCCGTCAAATCGAGGATCCTCCTTGCGAATGGGCGACGGCCGACATGGACTATGACCACGATCGAAATCGACAAGATCCCGCGACATCTTTGTCATGGTCCCTGTGGCTTCTTCCATCGCAGGATGGTCCTGGCCAGGCATGGCGGTGGCGTTGGAGGAACACAAAACTGTGAAAGCATAATTTCTCTGAGGTCCGCGCGGATTTCTTGGATCGGCACTGGACCCCCCTTCCTCGAGCGCGGAGCGCGCCAGGGGCGGCGAAAGGGGGGCCCCAACGACGATCCAAGAAATCCGCGCAGACCTCCAAGAAACTATGTTTATGCCGCATTTTCGGCAGTGAGCGAGGGGGGAAGTGAGAGGGAGAAGGCCTTCTCAAAAGCCCCCGCGCATACTGAAAAACGTTATGCGCGTTCGGGGAAGACTTCGAAAACTTCTCGGAAGGCCTGGGGACTTCCGAGCCTTCTGAGAAGGCCCGCCCTTTCTCTCTTCCCTCCCTCCCTCGCCGCCGAATGTTGTTTTTCGAGGTGCAAAGACTCCTGCTGCGGGTCTCACGCCACGAAGCTCATCTGGAGCAACTCCTCCGTCCACGGGCGGTCGTCCGGCGAACGCTGCACGCATCGGCTGATCAGCTCGCGCTCGTCATCAGCGGCCGAGTCGGGGATCGGCGGCGTCGCGTCGGAGGCACCTCGGGGCGATGTCGTCTTCGTCTTCCTCCTCCTGGCCGTCTTCATCGTCGCGGACGTCATCGCCGTCGTCTTCGTCGTGCACGTCTACGTGGACTTCGTCGTCGTCGTCGTCGTCGTCGTCGTCGTCGTCGTCGTCGTCGTCGTCGTATTCGTCGTGGACGTCGTCGTGGACGTCGTCGTCGTCGTCGTCGTCGTCGTCGTCGTCGTCGTCGTCGTCGTCGTCGTCGTCGTCGTCGTCGGCTTCGCCGTCGTCGTCGTCGTCGTCGTGGAGGACGTCGATGTCGTCCTCGACGTGGACGCCGACACTGTGGACACCGTCGTGTCGGTCGTCGTCCTGGGCCCGTCGCTCGCGTCGGAGGCGCCTATGTGCCACATGGCGAACACGGGGTTGTTGTCAAACTTGCTGGAGCACATTTTTGATAAGGGTCATTTGGTGGGGGAAGAGGGGGGGGACGAGGGGTGGCATAACGTAACGCCCCCCCCAACGGGTGCCCGAACCACTGCGGCAGTGCCAGGGACGCACTGAGGGGGGGGAGCGTTACGTTACGGGGGGGCGGGGGGAGAGGGGAGGGGGCGCAACGCGCGCTATGGCCCAGAGGGTAAACCACTCTCCTGTTGCCCCACGGCCGCTCCGCCGAGGCGAACTCGATGAGCGTGCAGCCCAGGCTCCAGATGTCCGCCTTCCGGCCGTGCCCACCCTCCCGCTGGATGACCTCTGGCGCCATCCAGGGGATGGACCCCAACATGGTGTACGACATCTGTGGAAGGACCAAGAAATACTGATACCGCTACACTCCCTGGGCCGGCTGTGTTCTGACAAGAACTTTGAAGCGAACCCACCGGAGGCGACGAGGGCCTCCAGGAGGCCCAAAGAGAGGAAAACGAGGGAAAGGTAGCGGTATGGGTACCGCATCCTTCAGGAAACAGCCTGGAGCACGGCAAACCACGGCAGAACACGCATTTCGAAGGTCCGCGCAGACTTCTCGGATTGGCCGTCAACCCGCCTGGCGGGGCTTCTGCGCCGCCGCTGGCGCGCGGTAAGAAGGATCCAGCGCCGATCCAAGGGATTCTCGTTGCATGTCTGCGCCGACGTACTCCTAATGGACCATGGAAGATCGACCTGGGTACGCAAAGAATGGGGAAGAAGACCGACAACAATTCTGGCCCAACGCCGACCCGAGAACTCCGCGCGGACTTCCGACAGCTTATGCCGCATATGCAATTGTTTCTCCTCTGACACCGTCATCTCGTCCCGCTTGGAGCAGCCGAAGTCCGCGAGCCTCACGCAGAAGCTGAGGTCCACGAGCACGTTCGCGCCCTGCGCGGAGGGGAGGCCAAAGCCGTGCACCGGTGCCGAAGCCGACCAGGCCCGGGCCAGCGCGTGCCGGATCAAGAGCAGGAGCCCGTTCGTCGAGGGCCCAAACAAGGCCTCGTGGGCCCCAGGGTGGAGGTGCTGAAACCAGGAACGATCTATCAGTCGGGAGCGGCCAAGAGGGGGGTGTCCAAGAGGGGGGGGTGCAAATCATGACCGGCGGCATGTGCGCGGCCTAGCGGGGGGGCACGGGACGTAATAAAACAAGAAGGGGCGCCCTGAGATCTGGGGAAAAATCATGGCCCCCGCCATGATATCCACCCCCCCCTAGTCATCACCCCCCTCTTTTCCGCCCCCGAATCAGGAAGGAAGCCCTTTTTTGGCCCCAAACGCGCCTGCGTGCACGAGGAGGGCTAGAGGAACAGCCCTGGAAGGACCTCCGAACACCGAGACCCTGCCGAACCCAACCTGCTTCTTTCGGCGTCCTGGCTGCACCCCGCACGAAAAGCAGTCTGAGGTGCGGAGCCCAAGCACGAAGAACGCAAAAAATGCCCTCCAGCATTGGGGTCATTCTTGGCCCTCGTGGCCGGGAAAGATCGGGATGCCCGAAATGGGACGGAAAGATTTCTGAGGCTCTTCCCAATCGATGTCTGAAGCGCGTCC